CCCCAAAACCCCAAAACCCCAAAACCCCAAAACCCCATGAACTTAAATAAAAATTGAATATTTCAATGAAACCAAAAATCAAAACGAGGTTATCTAAATTTAAAGACAGTATCGGCTGAAATTCAGCCTTAGTAAACAGGAAGAAGAGAAATCATGTTTTTTCTCAGAAGAAAGTACCGATGTGGAAGAAATCTCTTGAGAAAAGGCAGAGTATCTCTCCTTCGAAGTCATTCCGTGTCGATCCAAATATAGAAGAGGTGTTGAAGGGGCTTCATAACCAGAGTTATGCATTGCCGCAGCTAGAAAGGTCTAGGAGAAGTGTTGGGTAAGGGGATTAGGTTTAGAAGTGCTAGAGACAATTATAAAGATGTAATATAAAATTTTGTAAAGTTTACGTATAATTAGTTTTTTGAGAGATAAGTTTGAGCGAAATTTAGGTGGAATAAGGTTAAGGGGATTATAAGTTAGAAAATATAATGAGTTTTAGAAGGTGCTCAGAGAGTGCTTTTTGGAATTATAAATTCTTGCTTTTATAGAGAAATTTAAGATTTAATTCTTACTAACAAAAATTAACCTCAATAACGTGAAATAGTTCATTTTACAAAGTCTCACATCATTTTCTTTCAGAAATTTTTTCAGATTTTCATTATTTTTCCACTCAAAACCATATCTTCTCATCTAAATTTTAAGGATTTTCTCTTATAATTTTTTAGATTTACAGAAGGAATGAATTTTTCTCTTAACAGGAGAGCCATTCAAGGTATCTCTCTTGACAAACTTTAGGCAAGCTGAGTATCTCAGTCCTCGGAAAAGTTGGCACTCCAAAGAAAAGCCAAAGCAGCTGTGGCAGCCGTAAAAGGAAAAGCAATAGTTCTAAAATCTCTAAGAAGGCCAAAGCAAACAAGCAGGTATTTGGAAATATTAAAGATGGAGTAAAGTTCTGGAACAGAGACATCCCTCACAAACCTAAAATTCCCAACAAGGTAACAACTCAAAGAGATTTTAGACCATGGACCTCCAAGATAAACAAAAGAGACTCAGAGATCTACAAAAGATGATAATTGATCATAAGTAAACACCAAAGTCGTAGAGAAGAGGATGAACGGAAGCTCAATTTCATCAAGCATATTAATAAGAAATACAAGGATTATAAATACATCTGTTTCAACAAAAACGAAATCAAAACACTTGATCTAGAACATCTTATTAAAAGGCTGGTGGTCAAGACTATATCTGCCAAAGCATATGCTGCTTCCGTAAAGATCCAGAAGGTCTTCAGAGGGTAACCTTGATGCTAATCTCTAGCTGGAAAGTTAGAAAAATGTACCTTCAAGTACAAGAAATCAGAAATAATGCCGCTAAATAAACTTCAGAAAGCATTTAAGAGATACAGACTATTCACATTAATCCCTAAAGCTCTGAAATGTCACAAGAATAACAAAATAATGATGATTCAGAGGATCATGAGAGGCTATAAGGTCTACAGCAAAATAAACAAGATCATCAGAGAGAAGCACATGAAGGAAGCATTTGAATACTTTGAGTAAGCCTTGCTCTCATCTCTAGTGCACTCAGAAGAGTAGTCATTCAAGATGCCTCAGCTGTAATCATCAGATCTTTCAGAGAATACAAGAAGGTAAAATACCTTCCCGGCTCATCGCTTTATAGAGGAAATAATTTCAACGAAAGGATAGAAGAATTCCGAAGAAAAAGAAAGAGCGAGGAGAAGTCTAAGAATAAACTTCGATACAAAAAGCAATATCCGACTTCGAATTTCAACCTCTAAACATGCAAGATGAAAGAGTCTCTCCTCCAAAGTCCCATGAGAGTCAAGCTAATATCCAGGATGCTCTGGGTTTCAAAAAGTAGGTTGACAAAACTAAAGATTATAGAACGAGTGATGCTAATGAAAACTTGAGTACATTCGCTAAGGAAAAGAATTTAAACTCAAGAGCAAGGAAGAAAGAATCATCAAAAGCTATCCAAGGCTATCCAATGCCAAGTTTGAGTCATTCTAGTCATTTGAAGAAGAGGGTGCTTACAGTTGAGCAGAAGACTCCCAATTTAAAAAATCCTTTACTTAGTGGTAGTAACTTCTTCGCTAATGCATCGAAAGATTATGATGATGAAATGGACAAAAACGAATTAGGACTAGACATAAACCTTATTGAAGCAACTAGTTATAAACCTTTTGACAGGAACGGAAATGATGACTCCCCATCAATGATATTTAGCCCAGAATCATCGAAGAATTTGATTAATCCCATGAAAATGGAGTCAATCAAAGAAAGTGCTAATGATCTTTAGTTGCTAAATCAATATATTTCAAATGAAATGGGGTTTTGGGGTTTTGGGGTTTTGGGG